TGATTACTTCTTTCCTTTCTTTGGAAGATTCCCTCATCCTTTTTTTGTATCAAGATGGAGTAGTAGAAACCCAAAAACTTTCTTTCCCAAAAATATTGTAGCTGATAACTGGGTGTGCTGTAGAATAATGAACGTGTAGTAATGAACTTTTGTTCGGCGATTATTTACATAAAAATGTGATTGATTGCTATCGATAATAGTTTTTGGATCAATTCTCTTCAATTGGATTTCCAAAAACACTTTCTGTTATGCACTTATTTGATGCGAATCATCATACTGGGAATTAGCTGAACGATCTACTTTCAAAAATCAAAATCAAATGAGCTTTTCCATTAAAGAAAAGAACTGCAACGAATTCAGAATTCAGACTCGGACTGTTTCGAAAATTTTCAATAATGTTGTTCAGATGAAAAATTTATGTTTCACTGTATGGATTGAATATAATCCTCTTGGGTATTTCCCCCAATTCTTTACATTCACGTAACGAAGTCTTTTAGTTCGCTATTATAGCCTACTACTGATGTCGAGCAATTCTTTTTTGATCAATTTTACTTTGATTCCTCTTTCAAAATACTTCGTCTAGCCTGAGAGTTGATTTACATATTTCATGAATATTTGACCAAAGACACCGGCAATATATGTATTAGGATCTGAAATTTTCAATTCTCTTTCTCTTTGAAGATTTTTTTCTGCTGTCAATGTAGGAAAGTTAGAAAGTCCTTTTCGAGACGGAGATTTCAGTCATTTCATTGAAAGTATGTCTCCAGTACCGCAAGATTTTATTTCTGGATTTCTACAAAAGAGAAACCACAGTTGTTTGATCATTCAGTTAACTTTCTGATAAATCATTTAAGGAAGTTATGATTGAGTTCTTCTTCGTTCTTGATAATAATTCATCAATAAATGAAACAAGTGTGTAACTGTTCGCTGTCGGTCTGTGTATTTCTGTACGCTGATCTCAAAAACAACTCAACCGATTTGAGTGCGGTTTCACTAATTTATTGCGGTGAGGTTTACTCAACATATTCATTTCAAATTTGAAAAAGTTTTGTCGCTATAGAAAAACTGTTCAAGTTATTTGACTGAAACTGTATTGCCAAATATGCGCCACAAGACAACAAGTTTTCGTTAACCAGCTGTCGCACCCCTACGAACGACAACCCTCAGAAGTCGAAACTTGCGCGAGCTAATGATTAACGACGTCTTACCTTTTAACGTGTGATTCATATATGAAAGAATTTTTCGAAAGTATCGTAAATATAGGTACTTAACTGAATTATTCAATTCAGTTTGATCGATAATTGAGAGTTTTTGAATGTGTTTCCATATTCTACAACAGGTTGAGTTTCAAACCTTTTTTCTGGAAATGAAGGGGCTTGTAGTCATGGTTGAACTCATGTCCCTCTGTGATTGAATGACTGGCATATGTGGAATTCATTTTCACATTCTGGAAACTATTTTTGTGTTCCCATATGCGGGTTTTGAACGTTCTTCCAGTTTGACCTATATAAAACATCGAACATGACCCACATGCCAACACAGGCCAACGATGAAAACACCTTTTCACTTGAAACTCCTTATTCTATTTATATTTTAATATATCACAGAATTCAACTGCTTTTATATACTACACATAAAATTGTAAAATAATTTGTACTGGATGTAGAAGAGTTGGTAGCACTGCTGAAACACATTTACTATCCAGAAAAAGGGGAATTATAAGGTTTGTTCTGGTTCTAATCTAACATCCGAAACTGTTTGGGAACTGGGCGAGACATGATGCGTAAAAGCAAAAAATCTCAAACAATCCGAAATAGTATCGGACACTTATTTGAACCAGAATGCTTTTGAAGAGACCACTGTGCCACCTATTGTATATATGAAGAGATGAAGACATGAAAATACGTAATGTTATGTAGCGTATCCTTATAGTCAGTTCAAATGTTTTCTGACCTCAATCATCAATTACTCAAATCAAATAAATAAAAAAACATCCTAGCAAATAGCCCGAACAAATTTCCACATGAAATGCGCATGATCAACGGTAACAGTTCTCAATAGTTCAGCCTCGAGAGCAAGATAGATTCGAGACGATTCAAAACAGTTTAGTTTCTCCTGAAACAGCTACTTTCATATAAACATTGAATTTCAGGAGGACTTCTTACAGTTTGTGTCTGAAAGTTACTTCTTTGCATGATCTACACATCCATGTATAGAGCTACTTATTTTCAAATTGATTAATTCCTTCCTTTGGAAGTCTCCCTCATCCTTTTTGTGTATCAAGATGAAGTATTAGAAAGCCAAAAACTTCCTTTCCCAAAAATTAATCACTCCTGAAAATATAACCCCTTCAATTCAAATAAGATTTCTCTTGGCTGGGATAAAATCAAATAGGTGAATGAATGTCATTACGATGTCATCGATGACATAAGCAGATCAAGCTTATTCCGTGACAATAAAAATCGTAATTCATGAATGAATTGTGTGTATTTTCTATAATGTTATCCAATTTGGTACTGAAGAGCCTTGGGGCAAGTGTCTTAAGGCGAAACATCGGTGTATACCAGTGAGGGTGACAGTGTTCCATGTGAGTACAATTTATTACCATTCATTCAAAGTAGAACTCATGTGAATGATATCTGATTCTTATTCCACAACAAATGTTTGAAATACAAACTGAGTAGAGAAAAGTATCTTCTGTATAATTCAGTGTTCATATAGAAGTATTTGTTTCGAAAGAATTTTTTTCTTTCGTGTAATTCAATGTTTATATGAAAGTAGCTGTTTCAGGAGGACTTTCTTTCAGTTTGTGTCTGAAAGTTACTTCTTTGCATGATCTACACATCCATGTATAGAGTTACTTATTTTCAAATTGATTACTTCCTTCCTTTCTTTGGAAGATTCCCTCATCCCCTTTTTTTGTATTAAGATGGAGTAGTAGAAAGCCAAAAACTTTCTTTCCCAAATTATTTTTAAAGGTTATGTTGAAATTCCATGCCAAACTTCAGTTGAACTATCAGCTGTTCCAATCAGAAATTTCAAATTAATCAGAAACCAATATTTACCAGACATGCGCGTTGACAACGATTTACAAACAGCTGGAAATCTGTTTGTGACTCAAGGTTGTGTCCTGTCTCTTGATGATGTTTGGACAGGGCTGAGGATGGGTCTGATTTTCAGACAGCAAGTTGATGTTCATATATCCTATTTATCATACGTCTATTGATCTGTCCTACATATGTTCTATTGCAATCGGAGAATGGAATTTCATATATACCCTAGGCTTCATTGACAACCGTGCCCTTGGGAGAACGGAGGACTGTGGAAATTTGATTGTTGGCGGTGACTATCGTTTTTATGTCTTGTTTTTTGAGAATTCGGCCAATTTTGTCAGTTACACCTTTGATGTAGGGAAGGAATGCTTTGTGGGGAACGGTTTGGTCTTTTGGATCTTTGGGACTGGACGAAAAAGTTTGTTGACGACGGATGGATCTGTCAATTTGATGGTTTGTGAATCCATTTTGAAGAAGAGCTGATTTGAGTTGGGCTAGCTCTTGTGGTTTGTTGGGATGGTCTGCGAGCTTGATAGATCTATGGATAAAAGAATTCAAGACGGAGTTGGTTTGTGCTGGATGGTGGTGGGAGTTTACGTTGAAGTATCTGTTTGTATGTGTTGGTTTCCTGTAGACCGTGTGGGTGAAGGAGCAATTGGATTTTGTGATGAGGACATCTGGGAATGGAAGGGAGTTATTGGTTATCATTTCGAATGATGCAACTAATTTTTCCTTTATTTTCAGTACTTTACTATCAATGTAAGCTACAAAAAGGATTTGATTATCTGCGATCGCTTTCAGATAGAAGAGTGCCTAGAAGATGACAGCACGACCAGCTGTCGAAAGCGATAGCAGATAATCAAATAAAAGTCATAGAGCTTCAAATCCTTTTTGTAACTTACATTAATAAAAATATCAAACAGACCTATGAAAAAACTTGAAACTGAAAATAATGAGAATTGAAAATAGTACAGTCTAAACTGTTGCAATCAAGTTATTATTATTTGCAAATCAGCCTGAAAGTATTCATTGAAGGAATAAAATGTATTGTCATGTAATAGTTTTTTCATTTTTTTTTTAAGGAATGCAGGTTTGATAGCTGTTTAAGAGAATTAGGTAGTTTGTTGTAAAACTTGAGGGGCATAATAAGACGGCCGTTTGCTGCTTTCGTCAATTTATGGTGGGGGACAATGGAATTATAGTTGAATCTTAACGTTTATCCTGTGGCGAGCCGAACATTATCTCTTGATTCAAATTTGTTGAGATGATTTTGAATATATACAGGGTGTAACTGAATAAGTGTAAAACATTCAAGGAGGTGCTTCCTCATCGAAAATAGGATCTTTCGTATAAAGAAACTTCATAGGAGCATTCCTTGTTAAGATACAGCCCCTTAAAGAGTGTACATAAAATTTGTATGACATATATATCGTTCTTGATTACCTGAATTTGGTACCACAGTTCTTCTTCTCATATGTAATAACATCATTGTACCCGCACGGTAAGAAGTCATCCGAGTAGGGTCAGACGACTTCCTAACACTTTACAAATAATCGCCAGATGATGATGGGAAATTCATTCCCATTGGGGATGACAGGTGTATTGTCATCCCCGATGACAATATACCTTCTCTATCTTTATACGAAAAAATGTGTGGATCTTCCACAGAAAGAAAAAAAAGCAATCAGTTTCCAAAAAACTACTGAACAAGACGTATAGGTCATGCAAGGAATTAACTTTCAGACATTAACTGAAAGAAAAATTTCTCTCGAAACAGCTATTTTCATATAAACATTGAACTACACGAAAGAAAAATATTTTCGAAACAAATACTTTTATAAGAACACTGAATTATACAAAAGACACATTCGATATGGAATTGAATCAGATATCATTCACAGGAAGACTTCCACATTTTTTCGTAAAGAGATGAGAAAGTACAGAGCCAATACTTTATTTCCCAAAAATACTAAAAGTTATTTTCCTTTATAATATTTGTATATGACTTTGTCATCTTGTCCCATTCAAAAGTTACAAGAACTGTATTCAAAAATTATTCATGAGGAAAACGTTTCAACGATTATTTCATAAATGAAAAGTGAACAGAGCATGACAACCTGTAACAGCTAGTCCTCAATAAACTGTTAGGAAATGAAAAATCAAGAGACAAATTTAGTTCAAAATTTGCATTTTCCACATCAGTTTTATTTGAAACTTCAAAAATTTTCAATAAGTGACAGTTTTCAACAAGATTGAAAAATCAATTTTGATTCAATCATGCACTCATCGAAAAAGTAATACAAATTATAAAATTATGAACAACAACAAAAATCGATTTGCGCTCCGGAGCGACTTTATTGACGCCAGTTGCGCATTTGCTTTCTCAGCTGCAGGAAAATCCGGAAGAACCTGCAGCACTACTTCATCTGAAGATCTCGATCTGCCAATGTCCTCTCTTTCGTAAAACAAAATGTAGGGTGTCTCCAGAGGCTCCAATAAATTCAAAACATCGCCAGATCACTTGGTGACATGATCAGTCCGTTTCGTCTTTGACCAACCAATGTGTAATAATGACCAGAATCAACGTCAGAACCACAGGAACAATGACTGCATGAAGATTATAATAGTGGTCTACTAGATTGAAGTGTTGATCTATTTCGATCCTTCCGTCAGAGGTTAAGTCATGTTTGAAGATCATCAGTGTTATTATTTGATTGATAGATGCCTCGGCTATACTTATTTTCTTATAATAGTCTGTTAGTTTGGCACATTTCTGGCAATACCTTCGATCATCACCTGTTAAAAGTTCCACTTTCAGATGATTTAACAATAAGCTCTGCAATAAGCTCTGCAAGCTAACTCTTGAATATACACCGTGTCCGTAAAGTATGGAACAAATTAATTTTCAGCTAAACAGGTCACTTTAAGAAATAATCCTGAAACACGTCGATTTTGATGTTAATTTACCGTATTTTTGAATAATAATCTAATATACAGGGTGAATTACGTTCGAGTAATGACGTCACCGTCATTTTTTTTTAATGGAACACCCCCATTTTGTCTCAATTTTCGGATTATTCTAGCTGAGCTGATTCCAAAAATGTATAACATGTTGATTCCAATTGGTACAGGGTGGACAAAAATACAGTAGTTGTGTATGTGTGCTAATAAAGTAACGCGTAACATTCTTTATTAGGTAAATTAACAATATTATCAAAAATACTTATTGTCTAGCGGACAGAATATGCTGGAATACATGAATCTATATTAAATGGTCGAACTGCAGCCCTTGCTATATTTGACAAATTCTTGTTGAACCTTGTGTATGGTTTCTTGCGTAATATTGTTCATTTCTGTTCGAATTTTCACTTGTACATCTTCAATATTTGCTGGTTTCGTTTTATAAATGACATTCTTCAGATGACCCCTCAGAAAATAATCCAAAAGATTTAAATCTGGTGACCTCGCTGGCCATTCAGTGGGTCCACGTCTACCAATCCACCTGTTCGGAAAAATTTCATCTAAAATGTTACGCGTTACTTTATTAGCACACACACAACTACTGTATTTTTGTCCACCCTGTACCAATTGGAATCAACATGTGATACATTTTTGGAATCAGCTCAGCTAGAGAAATTCGAAAATTGAGACAAAATAGGGGTGTTCCATTTGAAAAAAATGACGGTGACGTCATTACCCGAACGTAATTCACCTGTATATTAGATTATTATTTTAAAATACAGTAAATTAACATCAAAAATCGACGTGTTTCAGGATTATTTCTTAAAATGACCTGTTTAGCTGAAAATGAATTTGTTCCATACTTTACGGACACACTGTATACTACAAAGTTAACAAGTGAGTGAATGTACGGAATCATTCAATCCAGAGCGGTCAGGTCAATTATGTTTCCAAAATTAACACTCCGATGCACGACGGTGGTCTATTAGTTTCGGCAAAATGCAATAAACCTTGATATGTTCGAAATAATTTTTATCTAGATCTTCCATCTTATGTACCTGTCAAGTATTCAAAAAGATACAATTTATACTTTATTCTACCAAAATATCTTTTTTTGCGTGTTTGGATTTCATATCTTTGCCCCAATAGACCACCGTCGACCGAATATATGATTGTTAGCAGATGGTAGTGCAATCTAGGTAGATCCTCGGTTTGATGTTTGGAGAAATATTGCTATGGATAGCTGGTTTATCAGTTGCGATCTCGTCAAAAATTGAAGACAGAATATAGACTCACCATCGAGGATACAATAAAAAAAAATAAAACAGAACTGCTGCAAATTTTAACGCATACTAAAGATCATCCTGTAGGCTCCTACATTTTTGTGTTTGATGTTCATATGATGGCATCTTCTTATGTGCTGGAAAGATAAAGAATGTGCTGATGATATCTTCGTTCCACAAGAGTGATACAGTCGATCCAATAACTGGTAAACCAGGAGTTATTTTATTTCAAAATACTACTGAATGTGGAGTCGATATTGTGGATAAAATGAGCTCCAGTTATAATGTTGCAAAGAATACAAAACGATGGCCTTTAGTTGTGTTTTACGGTATTTTGAACATTGCTAGCATATATGCATTCATAATTACCAGGCACAACGACCCGAATCAAAATCATAGTAAACAGAGAAGATTACTAATCAAGATTTTGGGTTTGGAGTTAATAAAATACCATATTATTGTAATAACTGCCATTGCGATAGTACCATAAAATACTATTTTATTCATTGAGATCGAGGTCGATCACCTGTTCTTCGGTGTCGATATTTTTCAAGCTGAAAAAGCGCTGAATTACTTTATGACTGTCGGACCTTCGAACGTCGTTGTGGTCATGTAAAAATTGAATCAGACTAAACAAAATGAATATATTGCATCCTGCCGAAGATAATACAGCACAGTAACCATTTGCGGCGAATTATTTGTTCTATTTTCTCTTGTTTTATTGCAATTCATCATTTTTCATAAAAGATTTCACACGTTGATTTTTTATTATTTTGTCCATAGAGTCGTATTCTACTTATTATACTTTATATTTGAAACTTTGGACTTTCATTTTCTCTTGGACTGAGAAAAATACCATCCTAGTAGAGTAAGATGGAGTTAAGAGAGCACAAACAAATAAGAGACCTTTTGTCAATCTATCGAGAAGAGAATAGTGAGTGAAAAGCATTTCAATTAAGATTAAAATTCAGTTCTGGAACCACACAATGAGAGAGAATATAAGTAAGTATACCAAATGATCAGATTTAAAAAAAACCGGCCTTCGTGCGATCGGCACGAACTCTACAGCTTTTTCGGACCTGCCTTGATATTCAAAACTTGATGTGGAGAAATCTGCATCTGGTGACAGCGGTGGGATAAATAGATGATTTATTTTGTCTATAAATCTGATCACATTGGTTAACTGAGAGGTGAAATATTTTTTTTTGAAATAACTATGATTCTGTGTTGAATAGATAGTGGACAATGTAGTTAGTGAAGAAGCAGTGGTTAATTAAGTAACACACTGTATTTCCGTTTTGTATTTTGGAAGTATCTGCATTCTTATTAGTTTGGGAAGTGGATTAAAATATGATTCATAGCTAGGTTTTATAGAAAAAAAAGGGAATTTTTGGAGTGTAGGCAGTCTGAAGAAATTGAAACTTAAAGT